GTTTTCCTTACCCTCAAATTGGCTAGCTTCTATCTTATCCACTCTTTACATAGATACATACATAAATAAAATTATACATAGAGATGTTTTTAATACTGTCTGGTAATTAAATGCAGCTGGTAACTGTTTTGGGCTGCACAAATTTTAAGCAAAATATTGAGTAACCACATATGCTATGAAGATATTTTAGTTCACTTATTCTGGTTCAAGAACATTAAAAATGATTTTCTGTTACTTCAGTTCATTCAGATCATGATGGAGATGCTCTTTTTGATCTATAACTGGACAGCAAGATTTTCTGTAAAGGGCCACATAATAAATATTTTAGGCTATGTGAGCCATACAGTATCTCTTGTTATTTGATTCTCCTGTTGAAGCGTGAAAGCAGCTATAGATGATATGTAAATGAATGGACGTAGCTGTGTTCCAATAAAACTTTATTTACAAAAACAGATGGAGGTCTGGATTTGGCTCATAGGTCTGACCCCAATCCCAATTCTAATTTGTGTAAGACCCTCTAGCCTTTGATATTCATCTTTTCTCTGTGTTTTGATTTACATAATTCATTTTTAAAGCAAAAAGATGTCATATGTATGATGTATGTATTTGTGTAACCCAAAGCTATATATTTTGTTGTCTTAAAAGTAGATAGACTCTTCTGGAGTCTGTTCAGGTATGACTGTCATGAAAGAGGCAGAATTTTGGAGGTGGGAATATACGATGAGCCCTTATCTTCTCCTTGTCATTTAATGCTATAATTCCAGATTCCCCATGTAAAAGGAAGATCTGTGCAGTGTCAAATATTAAATTCTCTCCAAGTTCTGCCTGCTCATTGCCCCTTGGACCAGGACTCTGGATTGCTGGAGCTTCAGAAATTCATCCACTTAGGTACTCTTAGAGCTCTACAACAAGAATATGATAGAATTTCTGATCTTCATGCTGCAGAAACCAACCTTTTGAAAAATTCAAAGCAACAGAAAATAGATTATGTGCCTCATTTGCCATTTGGCAGTCGCTATTGGATCTGTAGAATAGCCTAAGTCTGAAGAGTACAGAGAAAATATGTATCCCAAAGAGAGTTCCCTTCCTCTTTTCTTGCACCACTCTCCTTAGTACCCCTTTCATGTCAATAAGAGCATTATTTCAGAATGTCAGTATGGATCATTTTTCAAATTAAAGCATCCCTCAACCTCAACCTTACACTTCAACTAATCCATTTCAAACTTGATTTGAGCCCAGCAATTGCAGAACTCTAAAAATTGCTCATGAAATTACACAGCACCATATTACTAGCATATACACTGCAGTGCACCAATCATTCTGACATAATAGATTCTTTACTAAGAGGTTTATCAAATATTTTACTATTTTTGGAAATCCTGGAGGAGGGGAAGCCTGTATTCAGAGTGATAGAGCAGAGATTTATTGTCTGTCTGCCACATTATAAAGGAGCTGCCCTTCTAGGTTCAACATACTATAAGGTTACTTTAGCTCAGTGTGAATGTAAGTATGAATACTCAAATACATACACCCTCATATATACATATTAATATGCAGAGGATTTTAAACAATTGCAAATATCTTGCAGCTATTTGGATGCTACAGAATTCTGCAACTGCATACCAGAAAATTTCATGAAGATAAGCTCGGCTCTTTTTGGGGAAAAATTATTTTTTTTAGATAATTTAGAAATGTGTTTTTACATGATTAATTAAATTAATTATCCCCAATTTTAATTACTGGATTTGGAAGTTGAAATGCCATTTTTCAATCTCACTGGTCTCAAATTCACTGATAAAATGGGGTAAGTATAACCTCCTAAATTGGTATCCACTGGCTGCTCCTAAACTGGTTTTCAGTCATGTCCGCCATAATGTGATTTTTACAAATTAAAGGTAATATTGTATATTAAAGATAAATAAAGATGTTCTTTAAGTGAAAAATCTTTGTTTATCCTTCATTTTTACCCACTGATGACAAACAGTTCAGTCTCTTCCTATTTACAAAAGAGCAACTTTGACTTTTATAGTTGCTGATAGTCTTCAGTCTCTCACATTCAGAGAGTATTCATTTTGGTTAAGCTAATCTTCATATTCCTTGATGCTATAGAAAGATGAAGAAGAGTTTTCATAGAGGGTAATTTTTATTCAGACTGATTTTAAGAAAAACTATGGACCGTATGACAACCTTATAGTACTGCTATGCATGTTACCTCCAAGACCAAGTCTAATTCAGTCTCTGAGATCATCAAGCTTAAAAATTGCCTTAATCACTGGGCCTTATTCTATTGTATTAAAATCTGACCTGACCATGCTTAAGTGATTCTTGGGCATACAGGCCTAAGGGGATTGGGGTATAGGATCAGCTGGACTATAGATAGTGGTTGAATCTATCCATACTGTACAAGCACAGGATATTTAAAGCCCTTTACCCATGGAGCATCAAATATGGTGGGGGCAAAAGTTTCTGAAATAGCAGCCAATCTATATCCTCGAGGTCTAATTCTTCCTGGCACAGTGGATCTGAACT